CCCCATACAGAAAGCTCCGTTCACGGCCAAGGTTTCCAGGTGTGAGGGATGAGCCTGTGAAAGCAGATTCTGTGATTTTCAAACCAAAAGCAAGAACTCGTAAGAGAAAGAGGAAAGCAAAAGTGTTTGCAGGAAGGCAATTCAACCAAACCAGCTCGAGCTTCCCGAGACAAAGCGGGCACTGACCATGAAAAACGTCCTTGAATGGAACCTCCCGTGAAGGAGGCAAAGGAGGAGAAGCCAACCTTGTGTTCTCAATTCATCTCCATACTATGCCTTGTAAAGCATTTCTGAACAATAAATAATATAGGCCAGAAAAAAAAACCTGAGTTGCAGGAGTCTCTCACAAAATAGCAAAAGTTGGCTGGGCTGGGTTTGGCTGGGGCAGAGTTAATTCCCCTCCCAGTGGCTGGCATGGGGCTGTGGTTTGGATTTGTGCTGAACACAGGGATGATGATGGAGATGTTTTTGTTATTGCTGAGCAGTGATCACAGAGAGTCAAGGCCTTTTCTGCTTTTCATACTGGGGGTGCATGGGAGGTTGGGAGGAGACAGAGCCAGGACAGATGGCCCAAACTGACCCAAGGGATGTTCCAGACCACATGAAATGGTGCTCAGTGTATTAGGGGGCGGGGAAGAAGAACTCAGGGGGGTATGTTTGGAGTGATGGTGTTTGTCTTCCCAAGCCACCATTGCACGTGATGCCCTCCTGGGGGTGGCTGAACACCTGCCTGCCCGTGGGAAGCAGGGAATGGATTCCTGGTTTTCCTTTGCTCACATGTGTGGCCTTTGCTTTCCATGTTAAACCGTCTTTATCTCAACCCATCAGTTTTTCAGCTTTTCCCCTTCTGACTCCCTCCCTGGTCCCGCTGGTGGGGGTGTGAGGGGCTGGGGGGCTGGATGGGGCTGAACCACGACATCGGCTGAAAACTCAGGATGCAGGAATGTTCCCTCTCCATGGGAGAGTTCTCACCAAACCACCACACGAGGGCGGTGAGGACTTGCAAAAGGAGTCCGTGTACCAGGACTAAACCCGCCCAAGTGCAGATCCAGGTGGAAAGCATCGCTGCCCTCAAAGAAACTACGTGAGGACAGAAAGGTTTGGCTGACCTTCCCCTTTGATGTGCAAACTCCTATTTGCCCCACACTCCATAGGCAGCACGGACTCCTTCTCGGTTATATGTACTAATAAATTTATTCACTCTCCCAGAACCCAGCTGCACAACTGGAAACATCCAGCAGAAACAGAGCTCACAAAAGTGCCTCGTTGTTCACACCTCGGGCTGCCCCACCTGGGAGGCGACTCCCAGTGCCCTCCCACTCCAATAATTCCATGATTCCACCTCTTCCTTGGGCTTTTCTCTTTCCACAACGTGCCGTGGGGCTGCTGACAATGGGAATCCTACAGCCAGGAGCACTGGAAAGCTCCTCAGTGGTGTGGATATAATGATGGACTCAGAAAGGCAGAGTGTGACTCCAGATGCCTTTTGGTGGGGAACTGCTCTGCTCTTCCCAGTCTTCTCCACTACCTGAAAAAAGGGGATGATGTAACTTTGCTCTAATATCACCTAAAATCTTCGAATGGAGTTCTGAGCAACCTGGGCTAGTGTGGAAGGTGTCCCTGCCCCTGGAAAGGGGTGGAATGAGATGACCTTTAAGGTCCCTTCCAACCCAAACCACTCTGAGATTCTGTTACCTACCACTCAGGTGTCTTACTGGTATAACAGGGTGATCCTAAGGCTCTGGTAAGGTTAAAGACTTTCCTCTGTCCTGAAATGAAGCAGTGCCTGCCCTAACTCCTTCAGACTGCAGGTGGAGATCTGCCCAGACACCTTGTCCTCACAGCCCAGGTGTGCTGATGCCACAGGAGAGTCTCTACCACAGAGAGACCTGGACTTGTCTGCAAACACCACCTTCTCCCTCCTCAGAGAAGTCACTGTTTCATCCCCACTAGGGCAGCCCACGTGGCTGCTGTGGGCAGTGACATCATGTCATGTGCTGGGGTGAGATATCTGTCATGTGAACAGGGAAAAGGTTTCTCTAATTAGCACTAATCGTAGCACAGGCTGGAGGTTCGTGTGCCACACTCCTGTTAGAAGGAAAACCAGGTGTGCTGGGGCACTGGGAGCTGCCAAATTTAGAGAAATGCCAATTTGAAAGGTGAGGTCCAGTGTGGAACATCAATATTTTTTTTTCTTTCCTACTCAGAATAAAGGTTGTCAGTGAAATCAGCGGTAAAAATGTTGATTGTGGTGTCAACCCTTAAAATCAGTGTTCTGGGAGGAGGGCAGGCAGATGGGAATGTGCTCTCTGGGCCAGTGTCAGCAAGTCTAGACCACTGCCAGGGCCACTCCTTAATTCTGCCCCTGTTTCAGTGCACTAAACTGGGGAGGTGCCTTGGAAACTCCTTCATTAATCACTTCACCGACTGTTTAGACCCAACTAAAAAGCAGCTCAGCTTCTATGAAGGTGAAAGAGAAACACAGACCGATTTTTGCTAAGATTAGGGTCTCCCAAGAGAAGATTTCAACCCAAAACAGACCTGTTATTTTGGATTTCCACAGGAATATCTTTCTCCCCCTCAGTCCTCTGCCTTTTCCCTGCTGCAGGTGTAGGGAATGCTTTTTCCAGCTGAATATTTCCAATTATTCACCAAAGCAAGGCACTGAGGGTGCTGGTGTGGGGGGAAGCAGGACACAGGCTATAGACAAGGCTGGATCCACTGGTGTTGGGATAGCCTTGATAAAATAAATCTGAAACCACAAGAACTTGCACCCTTTTGTTCCAGGCCAAGAGGAAATGGCTCTTTTGGACCTTTTCAACTGAGCTGAGGCTTTTAGATCAGTGTTGGCCACTGCTGCAAGTGGATCAGGAAATTTGGGGGGTGGGGCTCATTATACAGTTTGGATGAGCTCAGCCCCTCCTGTCCCTCCCTTTTGCCCTGGAGGTGAAAGCTTCCTCAGCCAGGGAGATGCATTTAGAGCAGCCAGTTAACGCTGTCTAAGGGGGATGAGTTAAAAAAAAAAGCATTCAGGACGTGGCTTTTCCTTTATTCTCCATTGCAGGAGTTGATATTTCTGGCCATGCAGTGGCCTGTGTGAGCAGCAGCACCCCCCCAGCTCCCAGCTGGTTAATCCTGCCAGCACATCAGCACCAACCCATCCAATGTGTTCACGTGCCAGTGCTTCAGGTCTGAGAGCTGCACGCCCGATTCTGAGGTGATTCATTGCCCCACAGAAATGAATTCCTCAAAGTCTTCCTCTGGAAAGGACTTGCCCATCAGAATCCGTGCGTGGGGGGGTCAG